TTTTATTTTTAAATAAGAATTGTTGTACTTGTTATTGTTTTTAAAAAATGCCTAATCTTTCTCTCTAACAAATATGTAACGTACTGATGTGTAAATGTGACACCAAATTCAGTAAAAATTAATGTTTATTAGTTAAAATGTGTTTTTCTTTCCTGAAAGACGTATAAAACAAATAATTATTAAATAGCAAATGAATAATAGACATAACATTACTTTACATATTACATACTACTACATAAAAATAGAAAATTATTGTTATGTACGATATTGTGTACAATAGCAGGTAAGTTCATTTCAACAAAAAACATTAATTTTTAAAAAATTGCGCGAATTCTTCTATGATCATAACGATCAAATGACATTAACATAACTCCTTGTATATCTATGATATTTGATAGTTGATAAGCGCACATGAAACGAGCGAAGTTTGATCAAAAATTAATTACAGAGTAAGAGAAGCGAAGATTGCAAATTACTTAAAACGTGAAACCTTATCTACATTATCGCTAGTTGAGGTTTTGATTACTTCAATAATTAAACCCAAGACTAACCAATAACGAAAACATGCTGTATATTGTAAATGAGAGGGTAGTGAAGACACTTCCATTTCAATTCTGTCAATGTCAATCCATAGAAGCCATTTGAGAGTCATCTGACAAATTATTTTGCGTTGTTTGTTCATTGTTCCATACGGATGCATTTATTTGTTGCATTTATTGTATTTTTATAATAAGTTAAAATGTCGAGTTTGAATAATGATAGTCAACTTAAGGCAGGCCACCCACCAGCAGGTACATATAAAAAAATTTTAGTACTTTATAAATTTGATAAGGTTGTCTTTAGTTTATAAAGTTGTTAGTAATTCGTAATTGCTGATAAGGATCCAGATATACGTTACAACCCTACTCCTGATTCAATTTTTGCATTTCCAGAAAATTGGAACTACATATTTGCGAACAGTATTCTAATCTAGTCCTTTCTTTGCCTCTCTTTACACCTATTTCTGCCTCTAACCCTTGTTTTTACTATTAATGTTTATTGAATGTGTTCCATTTGTTGTCACAACAGCAACAAAATATTTCCCTCATTAACTTGAGGTAATTTGTAGTGGATTGAAAAATGAAAATGAATTTTCACATTAACATTTCATAGTAACCACCATTAATAATTAAAAAATGTCATACTTTTTTTTACTGTTCGTTAATCCAAAAAATCAACAATTTTCTTTTAATCGACCTTTCGTAACATTTTTATTTTCAATTACAATTATTATAGTATACGTAACAGTAACAAATATTAGATGGAGAAATAAAAATTGTTATAAATGTAAGTAAATCGTGTACCATTGCTTGGTAACATTCTTCTAACGATAAGTGTAACGACATTTGTTTTTCTAAAATCATATATTCAACAAATTTAACGTTCCTGCTGTACCTATATTGATCACAAATATTACCAGCTATTACCTCTCTGTTCAACATTGTACATTTACTGCAGAAGTTGAAATTCTGTTAAATTATCAAATGCAATNTTAAAAATAAATCCATTGCGTCAATTACAGTCACCAGCAAAGTAATTAAATAAAATGTTACCTAAATTCCTCATAGTTAGTAGTTGTTTCAACTGCTTTAATCTTGGCATCATTCCTAATCCAATACATTTTATCTTCTTCAATAGCTGATTGAAGGTCTTGGTATAAATTGTTATATTTCTTAGTTGGATCAGACATTTTCTTTCACATATTACTTCAGTAACCATGACAAAATCAACAAGTTCAAAGTCAATAATTTGTAGATTGTCACTTACTTTCTCACAGAATAAATAACTTTTTCTACTTATTGATAATCTCATTTTAATCTACGTTAGTTAATATATGTATAAGAAAAGTCCTTATTCATTTTAAACTATAAATATTTAAGGGTTGCCTCAGCATGTGAATTTAGTCAATTTTAGTTCAATTGCATACACTTCTATGAAAAATTCACGTTTCCCACAAAAAGAAAAAACACTGAATTTTATTAGAAATAATTTGAAATAATACCACAATCAAACATTAAAAATTTATTTACAATTATCTACATTAGGAAAAAATTTTGCGAATAATTTGGAGTACTTAGTAATAATAAAAGTAAAAAAAAATGAGGGATGCATCAACGAACAGTAACTCCAAGTGATTTAGTTGCTTGCATAGCAATTTTTTTATGTACCTGATTAACTTCTGCTTGAGTCAATGTTCTCTCCATATGTCTATAAACAATCCTATAGCAATGGCTGGTTTTCTTCGTTTTGGGATGAAAAAATTCATCTACCAATGAAACTTGCTCAATGATGTCACCTCCAATACTTCGAACAATGTCGTAAAAATCGTTGGATGAAAATTCTTGAGCATTGTCAGGCAACCAAAAACTTATATCATTTATACATTGAGGATATTGACTCACTGGCTTATAAATTATCTTTGCATTTGGATCGCTTGTTTTAAACTGACTTAAAAAGCCTGAATCTTGAGACCAGAAAAGGCGAATATCTGGTATTTGATATATGCACATTGCAACTCTTTCTAAACCCAAACCAAAAGCCCAACCTATTTTATTAAGAACACCGGCTCTGTATAAAATAGGCTGTTGAAGAATTCCGCAACCAAGTAATTCTAGCCACTGATTATTATAATGCACCTCTAGCTCCCATGATGGTTGAGTGAATGGAAATGTGGAGTCAGTCCATCGAAATCTAATATCACTACCTGGTAATACACAAATTATAAAAATAAGGCTTAAAAATTCACTATGAACATACCAAACAGAGTCTTGGCCAATCCTTCTAAAGTATTTTTGAGTTCATGCTCCATTAATTTTACTGCTTCCAAGGTGTGGCATGCCTGTTTCTCTTGAATCCCAGTATTAGTTGTATTGTTTCCACTTTCAAATAATTCTAAAGATTCATCAGCAGGAAATAATTGTTCTCTAGTTTTAAGTCTAACAACATCAACCTGATGAAAAACTGGATAATGAGTTCTATCTATTTCATCTCTTCGATAAACATCACCAATAACAAGAAAATTGTCTAAGCCAGATTTTATTAACTCCGAATCATGGGCTGTGGTATGAGCTCTTAACAAATAATCATGGTTTATATAGTAACAGTCACTTTTTAATCTTGAAGGATGGTCTTTAGGAACAAGTAGACTATCAAAGTTTTGTTCCTGAGTGACAATGGGTGACAAATTATCAAAAACTGCAAACACTGGATTACCACGAGAGTTAACAAATGCTTTGTAAAAATAATCTACAACTTTTTGTCGGACTAATGATAGAGGATGGTCTTTAGATATATGTAAATTCTTCCCAATATGTGAGGCAATCTTTGAGTTAACATTAGTAAATTTGTCGCACTGATAGGCAGTTCCTAAAATTTTTATGGTGGCATCAAGTTTCTGGTCTACATTCTCTGCTACTTGTCCTTTAAATCGCACACTTTTTTGCGTTATTGCCCATAAACTTTCGCAAACTCTTTTATTAATCATTATTTATTTACAACTAGTCTTCGTTATATTAATCTAATCATTAATATGTATTGGTTAAACTACTCTAATCAACTCTAATTTTTAGGTTATCTAATGCTTGTCATTTTGTCACAATAGTGGTTACACTGAAGCTTACCTTTTATCTACTTACAACTGAGATCATAGAGATACGAGAATTAATCAGCTCGCAATAAAGCTAATTGTAAAATAAATATCAATTTAGTCAGGAAATGCTTATGAAATGGATAGAGGTACAAATATATTATAATGCTACATTAGAACCAATTCTTATCTTTCGATGCAATCATAAAAAAAATTTTGAAATAAAATTTATGCCATAATATTTAAACCATACAATTACCCAAATTGCTCTTTTTTCACTTGGTTACTTTTTATGCTTTTTAAGCCTCTAACGCCGCCACTTATACGTTAATACTCTCTCCGCTATTCGAAAATCTATGTTTAGGGTGCGTCATTATTTAGTCTGTTACGTATAGCTTAGACACAGTCAACTAAATCACACAAGTTCAATAACATTTTGACAACTGTCAGTTGCGGTCGTTTTCTTGCGAAGTAGTGTTGGAATTCTGAAAACTAGTGTAATATGTAAATATATTCTCATTTTACACTTTCAGGAAAAAGCGAAAAATGGAAATAGCATCAATAAATTACCTGGAAACGTGTTATATTGCAGTAGCTTTAAATCTCAAATGGAGGAATTCGTGCACTGAAGTGAATCATTTTTGAATCACACTACCGTAAACATTTTAGTAAACGCTTTTCATCATAAACATGACAGAAAAAAACAATAAACTTACTTCAAGTAGTACAGGAACAATGGTTCCTGGAAAGCCTGTACCTATGAAATTATTTGCAACATGGGAGGTTGATAGGACTCCTTCAAATTGTATACCAAGGTGAAATTGATTTTTGATAAATGCATTACTAAAATTGAATGTGCTTGAATTAATTTCTAGGCTGTGTTCTCTCAGGCTTACAAGACTTGTTGTATTACGCCCTTTGGGAGCAGATTTGACATCCATATCTATAGCAGTTAGAATGCAGTCAAGTAAACGCACATTGAGATCTAATGAGTTGTTACTTCCTCCAAATGGTTTGTTAGATACTAGTCTTGAATTGACTTTCAGTCTGCAATATCCACATTTTCTCAAAAGAGATGGCAATAAGCTTCATGTATTATTACAACGTAAAAAGCGCTACAAAAATAGAACCATGCTAGGTTTTAAAACTTTAGCAGAAGGGATCATTAGAATGGATCATGTAAGTAATTTTTTCACATTATGAATTATGATTATTAAATTTTTAAAAAGTTTTATGTAAATGTAATCTATTATGAGATGTATTCTATTTAGAAATGCAATATTTCATAAATCAACAAATATTGGGCACTTTGCCCATCAAATACTTTTCGTTTCATACACAGGATTTTTATTGTAACATGCAAATTAAATTGGCATAAGAAAATATAAACTTGAAAGTTTTCCAATTTACCTATTTCAAATGTAATTTACATTAAAAATAAATCACTTCAATTAGTATATTTATTTTGACTTGCAAATAAATACAAAGTTTTTTTTTGTAGGTTTTACAAAAGCAAATGGATTTAGAACTGGAGTTACTTGCTGAAGGGAGCAGCAAAGACAAGGGAGCAACCCCAGTTGCAAGAGTAACAGTACAACAACTGACTTCCCTTCCAGTGGATCAAGATCATAAGGGGGACAGAGAGAGGGAATTTAGTGATGAGGAAGATGAATTCAGCTCTGGAGAAGAAGAAGCTGCTGATCTATCAGATAGTGAACCTTTGCGTCCTAAACTGTCACATCCTAGAGTAAGTTTCATTATTTCTTTGCCATTATTTGCCAGTTGAAGTTTTATTGATATATTAATTTAAAAAAAGTATTTTCCGCATTCACGTACATAAGTANTCTGAAAAACAACCGAAACAGGATGGTAAAGTGTCTTTGAAAGGACTCTTCAGGGGACTTCAAGTTACTCCCTGCTTGGGGTTAAGTCCGTCATTGTGTCTGACCATGCACGTTGCCAGCAAGGAGAAAAAGCAGAAAAGTAAATAATAAAAGATATTTTTGAAAAAAACAATTTTTTTAAATTATTTATGAAGAACATTATTTCACGACGTCAAACAATTTTTTATAGCAAGGCTTTCACTGAAATAATTAATTTTAACGAAACAAACAAAAATTGAACGTGCATTTCTTTCTCTTAATCTTTGTAATTTCTTCAAAAGCTTGTTACTGTTTACAACAAACTAAAATAACGTCGTACAATGCGTTTTGTTATAAAGGTAGTAATTATTTAGTATATGGTTTTAAACGAATATAAAGTCAAATATTCTTTTTTGTTTATTATTTAATATTATTGTTTATTAAATAAAACCAACATTCATTTTTCCTCTTAAAGCACAATCTTAAACAACGATTCGTTTCTTTACTGAAACGGTTCAGGGT